ACAACTCCTTCCACAGAGGTCAGGGATCAGCAATACACTTCCAAGAAAGGGAAACTGACTATCCCAGCCCCTTGGGATGGGTTGCCGACCACTCACCATCACTCCAACATTTCCGCCTAGAAAGTCATGTCCCCAGGAGGCCTCAGAAGGTTCTTCCCAGTGCTGTGGACTAACTAGGCCAGAGAGAAACAAGGTGTACTAGGCCATATAGTTTATGATCTTTAGGACAGGTTCCCCTAATCCACACTATCCAGTGAAGTATAAAGCTATCATTCAATATTCAGACATTCCACTATGCCTAAAATTTATAGGCTGCTTTTATTTACACTTCCTATTTCATATAAAAAAAGGTATTAAAACAAAACAAGAACAGTACATCACTGGAGCAGGAAAGACTCTACTAAATTCAGTTCACCTTTAAATTATTTACCAAGAGATACTCTCTACTGTAACAATATGAAAGCAGATTCCCTCTGCTGAGTCCAATGGCATGCCAATCACCAGAAGCAACTGATGTGGTAATAGAGAATCATTCAAATATCTTCCTTCCAGATCTGCCTATTCTCTGGAGAAAAAGAAAACCTGTATCAAGAACGAATCACTGCCTAATATAATGAAATCAAGATGCATTTGTTGCTAACTCCAGCATTTCTCACTTTACTAACGGCAAATAGTAGAAAATACACTATCGCTCAGTAACTATTTCAACAGATTCCCACTCTCTATTCTATGCTACTGAACAGAATAAAATACTAACGGTCAAGGAACTATAAATCGAATCATCACACTTTCATATGCATTTTTCTGCACGTGCTCACCTAACAATAATACATTAACATGCACACAATGGATACGTGCTTTATAAATCTGCCACGCTGTTTAACTGACAAGATCATATTGTGTGCAATTAAAACCATGAAAAAGAAATAATCCTGAAGAAGAAAGAAAAGTCCATGAACTTCATGGTCCACATCCCAGAAAAATGATCAAATGCAAGAGAAACACAGAACTCAAAAGATGACAAATTGATACTAAAAACAGAAAGGTTACAATAACTGCGGTACCTTTTAGCACTAGTTGACAATTTAGCAGCTGTTTTGCTGGATATTTTCCCCTCCTTTTTCTTGGGCTGAACTTGTTCTCTTTCTGGTTCTTGCTGGACACTTTCACGCTGGTCTCCATCAGAACTTCCTCCACTAGTACTCGGACTGTCATCAACTCTTGGTGCCTCAGTGGACATTTTAGATCCTGGATTAAAGAGTCAAAAATCACATATTCAGTTGTGGGAGGACTACAGTAAGGTACCTTGAGAACAGAGAGAAAGTGAATCTTAGAGTGGAACAAATAAAGTTACTATAAAATGAATGGTTGGTTATTTACAAAACAGCTTTGGGAGTTGCCAAAACTTTTCCTTCATCCATTCAAAATGTACTGAGAAGAGAAATGGAAACATATACAATTATACTTAAAATGTTCATAGCAACATTCTTCATAGAGCCAAAAAGAGGGGACAACTCAACTATTCACTAACTGATGAACAGAGGAACCAAACGTGTTACGTCCAAACAATGGAATATTACTCAGCCATATAAAGGAATGATGTACAGTATCTACATGGTGCAAAATCGATGGACTTTGAAAACATTATATGTGAAAGAAGCCTGTCACAAAGGACCACAAACTGCCTGATTCCTATTTATACAAAATGATCAGAATAGGAAAATCCACAGAGACAGAAAAGTCAATAAGTGATTGGGAGGGGCTAGAAGTGAAGGAAAAATGGGGAAGGACTGCAAATAAGTAAGTACAAACTTTCCTTCTGGGGTGATGAAAATGTTCTTAAATTAGACATCGGTGATGTTGCACAACTCTAAATAGTCTAAAAACCACTGCATTTTAAAAGAGTGGATTTTCATAGTTTATGAATTACATGTCAATAAAGCTATTACCAAAAAAAAAAAATCTAGGGCCTCCTCTCCACCAGGCACTGTTCTAGGCTCTCTGGTCTCACAAGCATGAGAAAGTTGGTCTAGTGGGTAAGCCAACTTGCTAAGTGCTGTGACAGAGGTTAGGAAAAACAGCCACAGGAACAGGGAAATGGGGGACACTTCTGCATCAATATTAAATGAATATATCCTCGGACTAGGCTAAGGTTAAAATTCTCTAAACTAGTCAATTGTTTTAAGCAACCTTCGTGATAACAGAAGAACACAGAGTCCTCCACGATTCTAAATAAAAACTGAATTGTATGATGGTGTCAGCACTGATCCAGCAATATGCTAAGCAACCACATTTCACAAGAGATGAAGACTGTGTGCAGACACTGGAGGATTCCTTGTTTTTTCCCCACAGAAAATATCCCTCAAGGCTTTCAAATCCCTTTTGCTCTGAGTTCATGCTCCGCAAGCAACTCTAATGACCAACTCAATTTCCTCACTACCTTGATATGTAGGTAGCTGTTATGACCTAGATAACACCCAAACGAATTGCAGTCTTCTCTTCTTGACTGTCATTGTATCATAATCAATTTCTGAGTTTGACTACAATGAACACATCCCTTGTGACCCAGCTAGCATGGAGTGTACTGACAAATCCAAAAACAAACGGACAAACCGATGCCCAGACTCTCACCACGTTTCTGTCACCTCATAACCACTTGAGCACAGTGTGGCCACCTCCTGAGGCACCTCTTCTTTAAAAGATAAAACCACCTTCAAGGTGTGACCTTTAAAAATCATAGATAAATGGAACAAATTCCTTTAGAAAAAGATACCATATTACTCTTAATCAAATTAGGACTTGAAATATCAAGAATAAGAACATGTAAAAGATACCTCAAATAAAGCACTGTTTTTACTACTACGATCAGTCCAAATGTATAGCTAGTTGACAATGATTATTAAAATTCATCATCACCAAAGATTTAACTTGCAGCTTGCTCTAAATCAAAGTGACTTCATAACACAGACCTCTAAGTGACTGAAATTTTTTATGGTAAGACAAACCAAAACGCACTGCAAGAGAACGGAAGAACCCAGGAGCACAGAGGGGTGAACAGTCAATAGAAAATACTGAATGCCTTCAATGAGACATCACACAAAACACACTATCACCGCCCCTCACACCTTCAACAGCTCCCTTCTCCCATGCCAAATAAAAATAGGTCTGTCCAGGCAGCTCCGAAACACACAGGGAAATGTGACTGCTCTTCTACCTATCCTGTAAATGGAGAGCATCAGTCTCCACAGCTGTGACATCTTTTACGAGCACTAAAGTCACTTAATAGAATACTGAAATTTTACATCAGTATGTTTCACATCTAGCTCTAACAGTCCTAACATATATCTTGCTTTTTTTTTTTCATTTTTATTCCACTTAAATTTTTATCCTTGGATTTAACACTGATTTTTTTTCAGATTACTTCTTTCAGTTAAAATATATCAGAAGTTTCAAACCTTATTAAGTATGTACATAAGAGCATGTCGGAGCAGATGTGCACTGGAGTAAGAAAGAGAACAGTACTCAGGTAAAGGCACTCAGATACAGCAAATGCTGCTGGCAATATTTTGAGAAATGTGAAATGATTGAGAAATCATTTTATACATCTTAAACCTGAAGTAATCCATTATATAAAAAACAGTTGGAAACCTAAATCAAAAATCTTTTTTACTGAAGCTCCAGCTTCAGTTTTAATAAACTATGCCTCTAGAATTTCAGTGAATATTACGTTATAGAGCTACACATTCTTCTTAATATTCTTATGTGTGTTTACATAATCTCCAATAACACTATGAATATATATAATTACTTGAAAGACTACTCAATATAATCTGAACCATAATCTAAAGCACAAATTTCATGAATCCCTCCAGATTATCAGAAGACTAAAATTAGTCTCACTAGAGAATTGTTGAAAATACCCAAATAGATGTATAATCTTTACAGCTTCACAATAAAGAAAAAAAGTCTATTTCCACTTTTGACCTAAGATACTTTATTTCATCCAAATTCTAACCTACAAGTGATAAATTTCCCTGAGGCCACTAATAACCACCATATAGAAACTTTTAGAAACAAAGTTTTCATATCTTTTTCAAATATCAAGAGTAAGTGAAATTTCTGTTGGTTTTGTTTTTTGAATGCCTGGTTACAGAAAAACTTATTTCACTACAAAAGTGGCAACTAATTTTTATGAAGAAAAAGTCTATAAGCATTTTAATTAGTTATAAGATTAGTGTTTTGTCTCTCTGAAGTACAAATGAATAAAAATTCCTGAATTAAAACTCTCTAAATGTTATCTTTTAAATCAGCATTTTTAAATTATCTTCTAAGATTAATTCTTAAATAGCTAATTTGATCCAATTATTTAATCTAAAGATGACCTTGAATCACACATTTATAAGCACAGAGCTACTCTTCCATAGTTCCAAAGATACTGACACTTAAACTTATATTTTTACTTTGTACTCAAAGTAAAACTTGGTTTCTAAACATTAAATACTGAAATAAACTTTCCTCAAATACATGTTTTATTAAGAGTTTAGACATTGTTCCCTTTTCAACACACAAATTACCTAACCCTGTATTAGCTTTGTACAATTACGTTGTAATTACAGTCCTGGAAATTACCAACATGCGAAATGAAACTCACAAGTTCCATAAAAATGAAACGATTTGGTTATAAATATTACTGATACCATAAAAGCAACCATAGTCACTCCATAAATCCGGATTACTGTCTAGATAAGCCTTATAACTGTGTCGTATGGTATAAAACTGCAAAGGCAAGTGTTCGTTTGAGCTTTGACAACAGGAAAACACTTAATTCTCTCATCTGATTTTTTGTCATTTGTCTTCCCACTCATGTTTCTAAACTTTTCTAAAACGTAAAACAAAATAATTTATATTATATTCAGAATACCTAGCAATAAGCAGCTTTTAACTTACCTGCAAAGATATTTATGCAGGAAATAATAGTGGAACACCTAAGTTTCGAGGAAAAGGTTCTCTGTCCTGGGGGGGGGGGGGAGCACCTTTCTGTAATGGGATATGACAATATGGGAAAACCCTCCATCATCAGCACCAATCCACATACAAAACTCTGAAGAGCCAAAGAGAATCCAAACTGCGTAAACACAAATATTTAGGTTCCCGAGGTCCAGAGTGAATTATCACATATTCAGAAACATACTTTTTTAAGAATCAGGGATAAAAAACTAAGAACTTTAAATCCTTCTGAAGAGAGAGATACTCTTAAGGTAAACCCTAGCATTTCCTTTTGTACTTTAAAATAAAAATATTTGAGGGGACTCTCGAGAATACACAATGCAAAACGATGAATCTCGAAAACATGCAAATAGGTCTAACAGCCACCGAGCACAGGATGATGTCTTTCTAAAGCGGCCTTAATTTCCTTAAGGGAAGATGGATTGGACATTTCTGGTTGGTCGTGGGAAAAAAAAAAACCACAAGAAGCTACGCTTTATCTTCATTAGAAATGGTAAAGGGCAAAAGGATCAAAACATTAAGAGAGGAGAGAGGGGGAGAGGGAGGGGGAGTGGGGGGAGGAATCCAGTTTCAAACCAGGCCAGTGGGGGCTGCAGAGAAGAGACCAGAGAAAAATGGGCTTCGGCTCCAAACTGTGACAAGCGCTGGGCTTCACAAAAGACCAAGACAACACACACTCCATACCGGGGGACACACCAACACACCCCACAAGGTCTCTTGGGCGGGCCACGGGGGTGCGGCGGCGCGGGGGAGCCAGACCCGGCACTCGCCCGGAGAGACACCATGTGCAGCAATTATGCAATTAGGGAAAATAGCAAAAGATCAAGCCGGGCACTTTCCACCGTGACATTTATCCTGTACTTTTGCGAAGACTTAGTTCCAGGATGCGGCTGGGAGAGGCAAGGGGCTTGGGAGGGTGGCGAAGGATGGGGAACCGAGAACGGAAGGGGGTTGAAGATGGGCCGGGAGGGGAGAGGCAGA